CAGAAAAAAACTACGATTAAATTTTTTCACACTCTTGCTACATGTATAATAATCCTTGATCGATAATTTATAAAAGCTGAAAAAATATAATGAAAAATTTTTTTATTTATTTTGTTGTTTTAATTTGTTAATTTATTATTAGATTTTGTCTTCCTCAAAAATTTAACATTTAAAAAAATTTTAAAAACTCAATTTTTTAATAAAAAAAATTTTTCTTTATGATAATCTTGATTATTCTTTGCTTTAATTGGGATATTTAGGAACAGGAAGCAGGAAGCGGGAGGGAAATAATTTGTACTAACATAAGTTAATATTTTAATTAGTTTATTATTATTATTATATTAATTGTTTTGATCATATACATTATTAAAAAGACAAAGACTAACTTTTACAATCTCAAAGAAATAGCCCATATATTTATAAAGTTCAATGTTTTAATTTTAAGGAATTTACACTGTATTGACGTGTAATAAATTTGATAAATTTTATGGAAACACATTTGAGAAGGAAACTTTTGAGAAAAATTTATTGGCAATGTCAATTAAAAACGGCTCCCATACATTGGATAAGAATGGTAATACTGCTCGGTATATCGGTGGCCAGTATTCATTTATAAAACCTATGACAATATTATCTGAAAATAAAAATTGACATATGACAATGTATTTAAAGAAAAAACAAATCAGGGAGCAAACAAAAGATAACAATATAAACGTAATTATTGTTACATAGATAATTATATATGTTGTACATGTGATTTTATATTTGCAAAAATAGCAATAATAAATAAAACATTATAACGAAAATAATAAAATATAATTTTAATTTGTAAAGTAACATATGCAACTTCTAATTTTTTCTTTTTTTAAATCAAGTAATTATTTTTGTCTTGTTTTTATTATTCGACATAATAGAAATGCATTCTGAAAATTTTTCTAAATATATTTTCGACATTAAAAAGGTTTTTGAAGAAGTTATTTTAATAGTGATAATATATTAATTTCTCAATTATATAAATATTTTAATTTACAATGTATTACAATAATTTACAATATTAATTTTAATTGTATCTACATATGTTCAAATTACGAATTATTAGTATTTAATTAATTAATCTAGATAAAGTTTTATCAAATAATTATACGTACGGGTTGTATGTATGTACATGTACTTATAGTTAAATAAATATCAGCCTTTCACTCAAGTAATTCGATACATTTTGGAAAAAATTGCAAACAATAAAGTTATATCTAAAATAATATAATATTTACAAAATTCTCTTTCTTCTTCTATCGAACAGTTGTAATGTACTTTAAAATTTCCAAGAGATGGGGCGATAAGAAAATGTTCTATAATCCATATATTGTTTACAACATGTCCTTTTAAGTCCCATATTGTTCTAACATTCTCAACAGTTAAATTGAAATAACCTGTTACATAAATTATTTTAATAATAAAAGTGCGGAGTATTTCTTTTAATAAAATAACAATTATTTTAAAAGAATCATAATTATTTTTTTAAAGAAAGATTATTTTCTTCTAGAATTGCTATGTATTGTATTTATATAAAATAATAGTTATTAAATTAATATTATTATTATTCATTTTTTGTGTATGTAATATACATACATATTTCTATATATAGAAATGTATTTCTATATTAGCTACTTATTAAGATTTTAATAAGTTTATTATAAATATATGAAATACATATACACACACATATATATACATATATATATATATATATATATATATGTATATATACTAAAAATATATGTTTCTCTGTTTATTCTGGTTATATATAGATTCGTACCTTCAGTAACAAGTTTAAATATATTTAAAGAAGCATTTATTTTTGTGGCACCTTTTATAAACACTTTTGGTATTTGTACATCAATTTCTAAATGGAAAATGTCATCAAGAAAATGCGTTCTTACATCAGAAAAATGAGCTTTTGATATTCCAATGCAAGTAACATTTGATATAATTAATTCTCCTCGTATTTCATCAGAATTTAACAAAACTTTACCGTATTTGTAAACTAATGGGTCCAAAGATGGAAAGTCAAATTCTGGTAGTCCTATCAAGATAAATAAATTAATATTAATATCCTTATTTCAAAGTGATTTGATAAGAAAAAATATTATTTTTTTTAATTGTCTTACAAAAATTCAAAATTTTTTGAATTTATTTAAATCAGTTCATCATTAATGTTGATTTTATGTATGCGCGTGTGTGTGCGCGCGCGCGCGTGTGTGTGTGTGTGTGTGGGTATCATAAACGTAATAAATATTGCGCATTCCTTGAAATTTAGCTCTCAATTTAGAAAAAGTGGAGTAGCTGAATTTATACCTCTCTCTCTCTCTCTCTCTCTCTCTCTCTCTCTCCCGCTCCCCTCTTCCTCTCCCACTCCAAATATCAGTAGTGGTGATTCAGACGTTGTGACTCTATGAATAATGACATCCTTCT